AGCACTGAATGGAATTTAATGGAGTATCAGTAATCTTGTGTTTCGTTTCATATATGCACCACAACATTGCTACTCTTGTGTAAACAGGTCAATAAACAATAAAACAAGACCCTTTCAGATAAATACATCGGTAAATGATTCTAAGACCGTACACCATTGCTGTGGTACGTATCTGCTACGTTTTCTAAATTATTTCCTACCGTATCGTGCTTATTTTATATCCGTACATACGCCGATACGGCCCTTATCTGGAGCCCTGACATCAATGAAATGTGTTAAATAAATAAAATAATACAAAATATTTCTATAATATTCCAAACTAAGCGATCATGGAATTCAAACTACAGAAAATGTCATTAGAATGAAAATTTGAAGTTTTATAAAGAAAAAGATTTATTTTGAAATTAACAGATAACTTCATATTTCAGTCAGTGCAATACCGAATGGTTACAGGCCCACAGTTCATGTAATGCAATGAGTATGCACAGAAGTTGTACACCTACATCACTTCCTGATTCACATGGCACAATAAATACAGATTGACAAGTTACAAACAACATTTGTGGCGACTGATTACATCCAGCAAAAAAGGTTTACCTACATTTTGATGAAGAAAATAACGCCATTTTAGTAATATTTTTTTCATGTTATTATATTTATCATATTTCACAAAAAGGTTATATCCATCCTCCTCTGAACTTGAACTATATTGTGCACTCTGTTATTTCTTGCAACGTTGCAAACTCCTACCTGCCAGACTGTCCGGGACGGTCTGTTTTGCGACAGGACGGTCAGTTTTAAAAAAGTTGCACGCCCGATGGTCTGGCTGTTAAATCCGTGTAATTTTGTAATGTATATATAATGACTAAAGCCTTGACTGAAACAGATTTGAAAATGTGTGTTATTGTGACAATAACCTGACATTAAACAGTTACCTCCTCTTATTATTCCAGAAAATACTGGACTGGCAACTTTCCAACCGGTCTGGTAACTTTTGAGAGTTATACCAGACCAGTTTTCTAGCTGAAATTTTGGGGAGTTTACGACACTGTTTCTTGGTATATTATTGTGCCCCTTTAGTTCAATCATTAATATATGTGAACTACAGGTACATTCAGGGGTGGAAATAACCCATTGCCCGACGTCCGAGTCCAGTGTTTTTTTTCTGTCGGGCAAGCAAATTTGTATATCACACTGTGCACACTGTTGACTTTCCAATGTTAATTATGTTGTTTATTTAAAATATCAACAAGAAAACGGCCGGTATAGTGGAAAAATTATCAGGGCAAGTGATTTTACATGTGCCACTGTACCGGAGTACACTAGCAATTTGAAAGTTATTTCCACCCCTGTTACATCAGATGGAAGATTTCATGTTCTAAACTTTCACAAGTTTAGATTCTTTAAATAGCGGTCAATAGATAATCATTTACATAAGCCATAGTAGAAACATTTACTGGATGAATGAACAAGTCCATGAATGGATATAAATATCAGCAATAGTTTGTCTAGTGACACTACAACTGCATCTTGATGTTTTGGTTCCACACTGATTATTCCAGACGTAATCGTAACAACATTAACAAAGAAAGTACTTCACATAATAAATCTCGAAATCTTTTTCATGCATCAAGACAAACTGATTCGGTAAATATTAATAAAAACCCAAGCTCCACACTCAAATAAAGAATAAATGAGTATGGTTTAACGGGGCTTTTAGCAATATTCCAGCAATTTCATGGTGGGGGACACCAGAAATGGGCTTCACACATTGTACCCATGTGGGGAATCGAACCCGGGTCTTTGGCATGACAAGCGAACACTTTAATCACTATGCTACCCTATCGCCACCCTCAAATAAAGAACTTGTGAAATCTACTTAACAAAATCACAAAAAATGTCATGTGCATTTTGGAAATTATATAACAGAGCAGACACAACCTTCTTCCCTTCCCTCACTGCATTGATGTTTTGGTGTTTCCAAGACAACTTATCTGAAAGTGTAACACCCAAATATTTCAAGTAAGTGTATCTTATGTTTTACATTTGAAACACAATATTTCCTTATGTGCCAGTTTACTGCCCTTACTCAACGCAGGGCTACAGATAAGGGGCGTACAGGCGTAATGTACGCCTCAAAATCAATTAAGTACAACATAATATAAGATTTCAAGCGTATCATGTACGCACATAAATACCTATGTATGTCTAACATTTAATTTCCGTGCAAATGAAAATCTATTTCGGATAAATACTTGTCAAGTTTCTTTTGCGAAACACGATTTGACACATGAGGAAATCCCTGACAGTAGGAATCACTTGCGTTGCCATGCAACGATATGCGTCACTATTTTTCGATTGGCTAAAAACTACACTGTTGCTATTTATATCCAGTAGGACCTGACATTTCGCGCATCACACGGTCGCTCAGTTATTTCTCACGCGTCTTCAAATACAAATACATGGTTAGAAATATAGATCAATGAATCGTCCAGACAAACCACATCACCAACTCGCTCACACAAAAACATGTCAGTACTCCTTCAATATTCTCAGTACACCTCCACTTGCAATATGATGTGTAAGTACACTCTCACCCCCAATGCTTATCTGGAGCCCTGCAACATGACAACGTTAGTTTTTTCTATATAAACAATGAGCTTCCAAATATTACAGTATAATTCTAATTGATCTATTAACTTTTACAGTACTTGAGAATATTCCAGTATCATCAGCAAAGACAACAAATATTTCCAGGTTTGTATTTCCTGCAAAGATAACTACTTGCAGAGTTACCTCCCTTGCTTTCATTCATGTCAGAAGTGTTTTTATATAACAAATGTTACAAAATTCTAACAATAATGACGGCAGATGAGTTAATAATCTTCAACAGTTTAATGGTAAAATTAGGCAACATGATATTTGTTTTTAATTTCTGCATATTCTTGTTCCTTACCCACATGAGTACAATGAGTGAAGCCCATTTCTGGTTTCCCCCGCCGTGATATCGCTGGAATATTGCTAAAAGCGACGTAAAACATAACTCACTCACTCACTTGTTCCTTCTCGCCATTGAACCTGATGCTGGCAGGGGTAATAGAGGCAAAGAACGATTTGATATGCCAGGCACTTAAAATGTTGAACGAAATATATTTTACATGAGTAATTATTAAATATGAGGTTGGAAATCTGAGAGCACAACCCTGTGAGGAAATGGGTGTCTACCTTTGATGGTGGCGATATTTTATTTTGATATTAAAAATATTTTTCGAAGCGAAGCGAGGGAAGTATGTTGCCAACCTTTGCTCGTTTCTCTCGCATATAGGAAGCCTGTGTTGTGTTATTCACAATAAAGAAGTGTTGACATCCATAAATCTTGCTTTTCTTATAGGAATTAAGCCTGGTCAATTTTCTCTCTGTTCCGCAACCCTATTTGTGCTACAGTTTACCTGTGTGTGACCAAACCAAAACCTCTTTAGAGCAATTTCATCTCATTTTTCATCTGGGTTATGTGTGGTTATAGTAAGGACTTTCTTAATTTTCTATTGAATACTAGAAGCAAAAATATGTTTTTCCCCCCAACAACACTGTTCTCGCTGTGATTATCTCTTTCAGGAACATTTCACATGCATCACCATGACCATTGTGATCAATTTCCTGATTTTTTAAATCCATCTTCCTGTACCAGACAGTGAGCATCAGCAACATAGTCACTCTCCAGCAGTGATACTTGATGTTTACTCAAAACTTATACATAATATTCTGAACACATTAAAAAAATGCTATATCTGCTAAAAATTGGTTGGTTCCTCTGGCAGACTAATATGTTTAGCGTCTGAAAAAATATAGCTCTCAAAGAAACAAATAACTCCATTAAAATTGACAAGGAGCCTCACTGAGATGTGAGACTGAGATTCCTGAACAAGATAAAAATCCAGACTTTTGGGAGGAAGAGAAACAGGGGTGGCTACAGCTTTTGAGAGGTGGTGGGGGTGGGGTGGGGGGGGTGTCACAATAGTTTCAATGGTCATTTAATAAACTTTCAGGACAAAAGTAGGGTTGCGCATCCCTCTCTGGATGATCAGCCTATGGAAAATAATATGGCTCTGGGACTGTGAGATAATGTGGTGCATCCTGACACTGTAGTGGCAAAACTGTCCAATTTGACTATCTGATATCCACTAAAACATGTATTCAGTGACCATGAGTTAATTTTAAGCAAGCAGAACTTAGTTCCAATTTCCCAGTCAGACAGTAAATCCATTTCGGTGCCTACAGTACACACATGCATGTGCACTTATGATATTTCGGGCTTTTGGGTAGCCTAGTGGTAAAGCATTCGCTATTCATGCCGAAGACATTTCTGGTGTCCCCCGCCATGATATTGCTGGAATATATTGCTACAAGCGGTGTAAAACTAAACTCACTCACTCACTAATAATATTTCGATACCAGAAACTATTCCATTATATTTCATGATTGTGGATTTTGTTTAAAGTTTGCTGTATATGTAAACCAAAGGTTTAACTTTAAAGTGGAAATTAACAGTTTCATCACACTGAACAAAAAAAAATGAATGCATGCAAAGACTTACAATTGATACTTCACCATACATGACACTAAAACTAAACCTACATTATTTATTTTGTAATGAGATTATCTAAATAGTTCAGAAGAATATTCCTGAAGTTGCATATCAGAGACAGTAAAATATCTACAGATATTGTTTCAGAATATGTAATAGTTATTGCCACTGAAGACATGTGGGATTGAAAACAGTAAGCCCTTCTGAGGAATTATTCCTGTAAAAAGACACTCGTCAAAATATAAAACCATAACAAGGAAATATTACGGTGACCCCATACTGACATGTATGATGTGATATCAATAGTATATACTTCTGACAGTCTGTAAACAAATGTTTTGGCGCGAATTGACCGTTACGGTATAAACAATAACGCACGATAGCTAATCACCATACGACCAGTATAGCACAATACCTTTCATTTCAGTGATCCTGGCAATTAACACATAGCATGGTTACTTCTGCTATGAAAGTTTTCACGCTGTCAAAAAGTAAACGAAACCACGTGGTGGAACAAACAAAACAAGACTTAACCTTTAACCTCCGACTTTACCTTTCTTCTGGGTAACCTGTCATAAAGCGTGCACGAAGAATTTGTATTTTCTCGTTTCGTGTATGGGCATTTCATACGTTTGGTAGTCTAATGTACTACAAATGTATATTGTCGAATAAGAAATGTGTGTTTGTGGAATATAAGACAGGTTATAATGGTATTTTACGTGGTACACCCCCACAAGAGAAAATGAACTCGGCCTCCCTAAAAGGCGTGAAGAAAGCGGACATGACTTAGTCTATGACGTCAACATTTTTAGGATGGTAGAGACAATGTTCCGCGGAATAATTCCAATGTAAATTAGTTTGTCAATAAACAATTGTCTTTACAGCTAAATTTGGGTAGGAGAATATAATTGTTCTATAACTGTTCCCCTTCCCTTGAATTCACATGCAGATTCAAGTTTATAGTAACCGACAAACGGAACTATTTTCTTGTCGGGGATGAATACGCATGGGCGAGGAAGCCAGATGCATATTGAGTTGTGGAAGGTCACGTAGATTTATCAAGAGTTAGGCTATTAATTCATCCGTATTAAACTGGCCCGGCTCATGAATGGTAAGGGGGACAATTAAAGACGCTTTGTGTCGGCTGCTGTCATCAACAACACGTGTTATATCTCACTGAAAGCTCCTAATGTAAGTATGAATCGGGATTTGATGATCTCGCATTTTCACATGCATAAACTTTTTCACAGTCAAATCTATGATGGAATTTTCCCTCATTTTAACGAAATTCTCACCATCAATTGTCTCGGGAACATCACATGTTTGGAGTGATTTGGTTATTGCAATTGCTGGGTATTGAAATGGTCGGTGGTAATGCTCGTATCCTTTGGTAAACAACTGACGTTTTGTCGATCCTTTGTTAACATAGCAGGATAGCATGGTCAGGTAGAGATTCATAACTTTGTAATGTTGACATTTGCAAGGTGTTTGTCTTTCGGTCTTTGTTTACATGTTTTTACAAAGCTGTCCGTTCATAGTCATCTTAAATTTCCTGCTTAAACTTGTAATACATATCATAATGATTAGAACAGTGTCTTCTAGTGAATAAGAATTGAATCATTCTGAACTAAATCTGACAGCTCCGAGTCTCATGTCAAAGCCGTCAATATATTGTATTGGGCTGGGTTACTGTCATCAATAAGCAAAGTGAAACAAAATCAACTGATGAGAAATTAATTTCAATGCATTTGCATGAGCAAGTGATAAATGTTAAAACAAATAGATCTGGTACCAGAAAACATTTCTTACTTTTCCAGTTGGACAACATGATCACCTATGAACTAGATCCTTAAAAATTTGGTCAGGTGTTCATGGCTTCTGTTCAGTGGTCAATCTTTTTGTCAGAAATATGAATACTTCCCTTGTGAAATAATATGATGTTGGAATCGTTTCATCCATGTGTAATGCGACAACTTATGACATGACACACTCTGCCAAGCTAGTGGTCCTCTATTGCATCTTCTTTCATGAAAGCTCTTTTCCAACTGAATATCCAAAACTAGCTTATGTTTCGCTGTGGTTGTTAATGGAATAAAGCATATAATAGTATAGAGCTTTCACACCAACATTTTCTTTTATGTGATTTCATTAGAAATAATATTTCAAATTTACCATCCAACAATTCTGTTGCTAAATTGAAATATACATACAGGTCATAGTTTGAAATATACCATTTATCCAAATTATTTTATCACATTAAATGTGTCCAATAACTCGATAAATGTTGTATTGCGTTATTATAGGTGCTAATCAAATTATTTTAAGACTGTGCACTTAAAATAGTAGTAAATTACATTTTCCCATCAAACAAGACATCATTCTAAAAGATTTGTATGGTACAGATGTTCATAATGTGTGCAATCTGTTCATTTACAAAGCTGGCAGTATCTTTCCACTTTGACTTATCTTCAACAATGCTTTAGAACTTTCCTCTGAAGTAGTATTAAGTTTTTTGATCATTTATCAGTTTGAGTGAAATATAATGTCAATAATCACATTTGATTTTCTTACAAATATTTTAATAAGGCTTGGTGTGGCTAGTCTTGTGTAGGCATGATCTATAGAGATCGATAACTTAACATCCATCGATTATCAATAAAAGTTGGAGAAGTAACTTTTAGCGAAACTATAGTGCAAAATAAAGTGAAATAAATCCCAAAACATATGTCATGTCACTTGTGAGTGGGAACACGTTTTGCAAGTATTATTAACAAAACAGCTTTCTAAAGATAACTGACCCATGAATTAAGCCATAACTTTGTGTGTTGTGTGTGTAAATTTAAAAACTATTTTTACATAGATATTAATGATGACACAGTTTTATTGTTGATAATCATAAATAATTCTTCCCATCAGTGATATTTCTGATTATTGATATTTGTAGCCAGCCCTAACTAAGACGCACTTACCCCCTTCCCAATAAACACAATCTATGTATATGCATGGTTCAAAGGAGCACAATAGTGCAGTGGTAAGGCGTCTTGCCATCACGCTGAAGGCCCAGGTTCGATCCCCTGTGGAGACACCTAGGTTCGGGTCCTGAGGTGGGCACATTTGCGAAGTGTCCTTGGACAAGATACTTAAATCCACATTGTTTCAGTTCACCCAGCTGTAAAATGGGTACCCGTGAGGATGTGCTAGCAATGTGAGTGCTTAGTTAATTGCGCCTAACACTAACAGGCAGCATAGCTGAATAATCCCCAGGGAGTTGAAAAAGTATTGGAAAGTATGATAGTTTGTTATGACTGGGGATAGTAAATGCTTATAGCACCATGAGCAGGTAATGTGCCTGGATATACCGGTAAGTGCCATATAAGCGGACTATTACTATTACTAAATGTTGAATGGTATGTGTGTGTGTGTGTGTGTGTGTGTAATACGTTTACTAAAGTGTATAATAGAACATGCTAATGTTGACTGCTCAAAAGTCATGCATGTGTAATGCAAAAACATCAAATATGATTATTATATTACTATTTTGACATTTTTTGTGCAGACATCTGTTGAAGTAGCGAGAGAAAAATGCTGTTAAAGAATTGTTTGTTTGGGAAAAATCATGGATAATTGAAACACAAAAGGCTATAGTTGAATGAAATTCAAAATGAGTTTTACCTATCAGACCTTGCAGGGATTCAGTGTTGAACAGGTTCCCGGCAGCCCATGCTGGCCAGGAGAGGCAGCTAAATGGATTGTGCGATGAGGCTTGTTGATTTTGTAATCATCCTCTGATACAGTGGATAGATGCTCATTGTATCAGCCATGGATTGTTTGGTCCTGTCTCTACTGTCAATTAGTTGGAATATTGCTGAGTGGAGCGTTTAAACATGGATACACATGCATGTCACTGCCAATGCAAACTGTATAGTAATTGTGAGATATAAGTCCTTTGAGGTTTTCAACAAAAATAAATGTGGTTAGTAAGGATCCGGGGGCAGTGGGGTAGCCTAGTGGTTAAAGCATCCGCTCGTCATGCCGAAGACCCAGGTTGATTCCCCACATGGGCACAGTGTGTGAAGCCCATTTCTGTTCTCCCCCTGCCGTGATATTGCTGGAATATTGCTAAAAAGCGGCATAAAACTAAACTCACTCAATCACTAGTAAGGATCCTTAAATGTGTATTTAATGTACGTATAGGTTATTGTGTTGTCAGCCAGGACAGGAGTTAGAATTGTCTGCAGATTTCATTATGTCAAGGGTAATTTTTATGATACATGTCATTACAAAAACCCACAAGTCATTTAATTCACGACATGCTGGCAAATGTAGGTCTTATTCTCATCTTGAATTTGCAATAAACACCTTAAACCACTGTCATCCTTGCAATATAGTTTTTGCACAGTGCACTAGCCTTCTATTTCACAAATACCAAAATAGATTTCAGTGATTCCATCTCTCTTTATGTCGAATATTATCTTATGTAATTAATGTAATAATTTGTTGGCATTGTGTCACAATGTCCAAACATTTTTGTCTCCCTGGTTTAGTGGCATACCTACTCCGTTCTGGTGCTATGTTTAAATTAACTGACTGCCCAACACTACAGAAGACATTCCTATTTCGGGTTAAAACTATTGAAATGCCTGCAATTAGCCTAAAAATTAGAAGCAATCCAGAAGGAACAGTCGAACTGATTTCACTACCTTGCCTTTGAAGCCCATTAGATGCTTTACTGTTGCAATATAAGCAGTTGTGGTCATCCCTGACACATCACTAAATCACATTTCAGGACATAGAATATATCAGTCTTCACAAGAAAAGATATATTGCCCATACACCTGCTTGAATGTACTGATATTGGTGAAGACTGCACAGGTTAACCTATTAATTTGTCTCTCAGTAACATGTACTGTTCGTATGGCACCTACAACATATTGTCTGTTTATGGTTTTACTGATGGGATCAGTGCACCTGGCAGATTAGTGAAGGGGGAGATAAACTGAAAATGATGGCTTATGTTATTACAGATTGGTAAGACTGATTGTTTTTAGATGTCCAAGCTGGTATATTTGGGTCAATTTTGATTGCTATACCAATATGGGACAGCCTAATTGTTAGTGTTTACTTGTAACCTCAACCCGGGTTCAAATCCCTACCTCGTACAAATGTGAAACCCATTTCTGGTGTGGCCTGGCATGACATCGGTGGGATTTTGTCATATGTGGATTAAAACCATGCTCACACACTAACTTATATACCTACGGTGGCTGTACATTTAGTGTAGCAAAATGATGGACATATATGGTCTTATTGTATCTGATTCATTTTAGCTTTAGTGCAAGCATTATCTTGTTGGAGACAGTTCTTTTTTGTCATGAGAGTTGTCTAATTTTCATTTTGGTGTGAGTTGATTTTGTCGTGTTTGTTTTCTGTGGATAATATTCTCAAAGGGTCATGCTGAGAGGAACATCACTCTCTGATATTATGACGATAGGACTAGCCGATGAAAAGATGCATAATTCCTTCATTGTTTAAGCAAAATCTGTGTAGACTTCGGCACAGATTACATAGTATTAAAGTTAATGTTAATAGTAAAAGCTGAATATATCTTTATGAAGGAAACTTATTCATAACATTATTTCAGTTACAATATAATTCTCACCAACTTTCACTGGCCCCAAGTCAGTAAGAATTCCCAAATTGGATTTATGTACCCAATTCATGTTACTACAGATTAACTAATGTTATGGCTTTGTTGAGGTAACCTACATATCAACAGGGTGAGAACTTACCACCAGTCTAATAGCCAATACAAATTTCCCCTTTCCCATGTTTTAGCATTAAAGAACATGTTGCCTATGCCTGGGATAGTTTGACTTATGTTGTCCTAGTTCTGTCCTTGTGACAAGACCAGTGAAATGGAACATATATACCCATATTTAGATGGGGGTCACATAGGCAGATTCAGAGGGGATGTTTTTCCTTTCCCCCTTTTGTGTGCACCCCTCCTTTTCTCATTAGTGTGCACACACACACCCAACACACCTTTCTCAAAAAGCTGTATCCGCCCCTGGGGTGGTTGGTTAGAACTATGACACAATACAATATGAACATAGTTTATCTACAGTACTGATGTTTCTATATGTATATGTCAGGGTAGAGATTGTGATCTGGTAGAATCTGAATGTTGTATT